GCCAGCCACCGCGCCTGACGCTGTCCTCCGTACTCATAACTCCAAATCCACCTCTATCCTTATCCACCACCTCTCCCGCCATGAAAACAGCAAATCGCAGAATCCAGACCTTACAGTTTCCAACCAAGGAGATGACGACCAACGCCACGAATACGAAAAGAGGCAGCTTCCAGTTCCACTTGAAGAAAAGCTAAACGTGCTGGAATTATCTCTTGCAGCCAAACGCATCCCTCAATTCCCTGGTTCCATTTACAGTACCTCAGTCCCTCCTATCCAATCCCTTCTACTTCCCGAAAACGCAGACGATGAGGAGGATGAGGAAGAGATGATAATGCGGGCGCTTGAGATTCGGAGAAGGATGACCCAAGAGATTTTCAAGGAGGCAATGAGGAAGGGAAAGTTTGGAATCACATATTCCACAAATTTGATGAGTAGGATACCGGAATTCATCGATTATGTGATGATCGAGGCTGCCGCTTTGAAGAAGTTGCCGGAGTTCCAGCACTGCACGTTCAACAGTCGGGTTAAGACTGTTATACAGGATTCCAATGTTGTTCCTCTTGTAAGGTACTGATTTTCTTGGTTGGTGCTTCAATTCCAATAGGTAGATGCTGAATGATTTCTGTATTCTAAGTATTTGTATCAGGGTGTGACTCTAGAATTGAAAAAAAATGAAAGATTGAGGAATTTGGCTTCTTTTACTGATAGAGGTTGCTGAATTACATAGGTGGTTGAAGCATAATCAGTTGTCATATCCTAAAATTGCAAAGCTCATAACCATGTCAAAGGGAAAGCTTGACTCCATAAGATGTTTAACTGAGTGGTTGAAGGCAATTCATGTGAAGGGTGAATTTCTCGGGGTTGCACTCTTGAAGTCAGGTGACAATATCTTGGAGCGCAGCATTGAGGAACTAGATGGAGTTGTTGAGTATTTGGTGAGTAAAGGGGTGAGGAGGGACTGGATGGGCTATGTCATGAGTCGATGCCCTCAGTTGTTGTCTTATGGCATGGAGGAGTTGAAAGCTCGTGTTGAGTTTTACTTGAATATGGGTATGGATGAGAACGATTTTGGGACAATGGTGTTTGATTATCCTGGTGTACTTGGCCTCTTTACTCTTGAAGAGATGAACCAGAAGGTATCAGACTTGTTTTGTATCCGTTACTGTTATGTGTCCTGTATTTGCATTGATAAAAAAATCACTGTCACTCATTTACCATCATGTTTTGTGGTATTTGGTAAGTCGCACAAAAGATGAGGAGAAGCACAGACAATAGGTTTTCTGGATTCATTTCTCTTGGTCACTCAGTTGAATGTCTTATTAACAAATTGTTGACCAGTTTTTGTAATCATGTAATTATATGCTCTTTTTTGACCGTCCAGGTTAATTATTTGAAAGAGTTTGGCCTCAATACTGAAGATGTTGGGAGATTACTCGCATTTAGGCCACAATTAATGGGTTGTAGCATTGAGGAAAGATGGAAGCCGCTTGTGAAGTATTTGTATTACCTTGGAATTTCCCGAGATGGAATGAGGAGAATGCTCACCATTAAACCAATGATTTTCTGTTTTGATATGGAAGCAAACATTGTGCCAAAGGTATCTATTATATCTTGGCTTCGATGCATACAATTCTTTTCCTGACTGGTATGGTACATAGTGCCTAGCATTCTATTTTTATGCTTAACTGTTTTCAAGTTTAACTTATCTCATTTTTCATGATTTGCTGCTTTAAATTTTAGATTTTATCCTTCTTTCCCCTACTATTTTGTGCGAGAGCCCAATTTTGGTTACATGCACTTCACTGAGATAATATCTCACATGACATGAGCCAGAAAACTAGTATGCAAATATTATGTTATGCTTTCTAATGTAGCCATTAACACTTGTTTGGTTTTCATTTTTCTCAGGTACAGTTTTTCCAAGGTATAGGCGTTCGAGATGATGCCATTGGTGACATGCTGGTGAAGTTTCCTCCATTACTAACATACAGTCTCTACAAGAAGATTCGACCAGTGGTTTGTACTTGTTTTAGTTCTGTTTTTTCTTCTTGCTACCATCAACAGCATATTGGGCTACATATAGGTCCTACCTTAAGGTGGTTAGAATTTTAGGCAGAGTTCTAAATGATCATACTAACATACAGCAATTGGAATGTCATACAGATCATATTTTTGATGACCAAAGCTGGAGTAACTGAGAAGGATATTGGTAAGGTTATAGCTTTGGGACCAGAGCTCTTGGGTTGCAGTATAGCAAACAGGCTTGAGGTTAGTGTCAAATATTTTCTATCACTTGGCATAGGACGTCGACAACTGGGAGAGATGATTGCCGATTTCCCCATGATGCTTCGATACAAAGTAGAGCTCCTCCGCCCAAAGTACCAATATTTGCGAAGAACTATGGTCCGTCCTTTGCGTGATGTCATTGAGTTTCCCAGGTGAGCTTTTTCTGAATAACCAGACTCCTCTTTTCCTTAACCTTCCTACTTTTGCAACTGAATAATAGTGAGAATTCTGTAGGTTTTTCAGTTATTCTCTTGAAGACCGAATAATTCCTAGGCACAAGATTATGGTGGAGAATCGGGTTAATTTCAAACTTCGCTACATGTTAGGATGCACTGATGAAGAGTTTAACGAAAGGATTGCAGAAAAGGTGGAAAGGCGCCGTAGATTTGAATTGGGTATTTTAGATGATTCAGTGGCTGATTGTCAAACAGGTTCAGGGACAGAAGATGACTTCCCTAAGAGTGACAATGCACCGTCCTAAGTCCTAACTTCATAACTAGTGATTACTCAGCAGATGCTGGGACTAAGTTGTAGAAGTATTCACTGGGATTGCTCCATTCTGAATTTTGAACTTGAGATGTCCTGAGTTCCAAAGAGTCACAGACATGGCACTTCATTCTTAGCAACACTGGCGGCCTCGTAGCTAATAATGTAAGTATGCTTTTGACGTTATGATGTAAATATTGTAAAATATGAATGAAATATATGCATTATGCAATATGCAAGAATGGTACGTGTTGAAATTTCTAATTCTTCTAAGAGTTTTAAGTGAGCTACTGCCTTGTCGCCATATAGCCATATTAACTGTTGACGATAGATGCAGTGCCTTGTCATGGCTGTTTGGCTGAAACTTTTA